TCCATCCATCCTTTCTTTCTTTCTTTCTTTCTTTCTTTCTTACTTTCTTTCATTTTCTCTCCAGTTTTTATCTATTTTTTTCACTTGTATTTTTCATTTTTCTTTATTCTTCTTCTTCCCCGAGGCATAACCATGGTCATATTTTCTTACTTTTCAGTCGTAACTCTATAGAACTGCAAGCAGCTGACATCCTCATGATAACATCAATAGTACAAAATGTGTTCCCCTACCAGAGCGAAGCAGTCCCTCAATCTAGTACTAGACCACCTCCTCCACTTTTCAATAATGTTGTATCCAAAGGAGATCCATCAGTGTATCAAAGACTACTTGATGATGACACAAATGATGACAATGACCTCCCATCTGGTAGTGGGTACCATCCACCTGTATCTCAGCCTATTGCTATCAACGACACTGCAAACGGAGATGGAGTGAGCATGAACTCTTCTGTTGAGGAAAAATTCTACTCTCCTTCCTCTACTCCATCGTCGGACGACATGTCTCAGCAAAAAAATGATGCTTTCTTTTCTCCAAGAAGTGATACCCTGGATGACATCGCACCACAGGTAGCTCAATCAGAAATGTCATTTTTAAATGAAAATTTGTAAGTTTAACTTTTCTGATTTTTTTTGGCTGGGGGGAGGGGGGGCTTTGATTTGTTTTAGATACAGATCTATTGTTCCTTTGATATAAGCTATGTTGGTCTTAGGTGCTTTAATAATAGGAGAAATTGTTCATAGTGTTGAATACCTGGGGTATGCCACTGGGTAAGGTTTTGTGCCGTTCATGTCATATTGGGTATAAAACTTTGCAATAGTTATTTCTTGAAAGCTGTAAATAGAAATAGGGTCCCTTAGGAGTACACCCTTAACAAAAACATAGGATGGAAAGGGATTTTAATAGGATGGCAGCCAGCATTGAGCACAAGGTTTGGTACCCCTCCCCTAGGTACCCCTCATTCAGGGACATACAGAAAGGTTCACCAGCCATAAACAAAAGGTTATGTATCCTCCCTTGTGCAGGATAGTACTCTAGGTATACTAAAGCCATAATTGTGTTTAGAATTATCTAGACAAGAAGAAAAACAACGAAAATGTAACCACTGAAGAGGCATTTCCAACAGAAGAGGCCAAGCAGAAGAATGAGTACTTCAGACAGCCCGTGTGTTTGAACACTCCGCGCTGCCCATACATACCGCATGTTCTACACCTTATCCATGTTGCTAAAGGCACAGTATTGGTCCTTGTTAATGAGGTATTGGTCCAAAGTAGGGACACACCCAATTTTGGTGGTGGGTATTGGTGAATACCCTGCTACCCTGTTAGAAAGACCTGTTGAAATGCTCAATACTGGGTGTCTGTAGTGAATATTTCCTATTATAATACACTCAACAAAACTACTCGATTCTGATTGGATAAAGATAAAAACAAAAAATCGCACATTTTTCTTGTACGATTCGGAATTCACAGATACTCTTGATGTTTTGAAAGTTCCAAATTGGTCTCACCTAAAGGCTCGTCCAATTTTGATAACTTTCAAAACATCACTCGTACCTATAAATTCCGAATTGTACTCCAGATTGTGTGATTTCCAATGCTAATCAAATATGTTGTTTAGCTTCATACAAACAAATAATTTCTAGGATTTTAATTTTTACAGTGTAGTTTTGGATTGAGAAGGATTTCACTTCCAGAGGTGGTGTGAACCAGATAACCCCAACCCTCCCCTCTGTGGGACCTCATCTTACTACCAGTACCAAAATGCTTTGCAAATTTCCTTTCTTATTCAAATTTGTGCTGCCACATAAAAAATGTACGACATTTGAGCAAATTAACTGAACAAAAAGTGTGCAAGGGATTTTGTAGTTGTAGTTAATGACGCTATAATGCAGGTGTCCTAATGTTTTGACTTCATCCCTGCATTGTTTACATTGTCTCTTCTTTTCAGGTCAAACATAGTGCCTTTGCTATTCCAATCTACCAAGTGCTTAATATTGTCACTAGACTGGAGTCTGATGCCAGTGAAAGAAAACACACTGCCCAGCAAGCCAGTGCGACGATGGAGAAGATTGAAGCACCCATGAAAAAGATTGGTGAAATCCTTAAATGTTCAATGGGGGTAAGAACATTTTTAATGATGATGGTGGTGGTTATAACAATCGATGATGATGCTGCTGATAATGATAGTGTTAATGGTGATGAGGATGATTATGATGATGGTGATGATGATGATAGTAGTGATGAAGATGATGATGATGGTAATGAGGATGGTATCATAATGATGATGATGGTGSTGGTTATGACAATCGGCGATGATGATGCTGATAATGATAGTGTTAATGGTGATGAGGATGATTATGATGATGGTGATGATGGTGATAGTAGTGATGAAGATGATGATGATG